TAATTAAGGCTGTTGTCAAAGGCAACCCAAAACACCAAGAATAGTAACATAACGTTAACACTAAAGGAGAATTTATTACTATGACATATTTATATTATAGTAAAAACAAAACAAAAAAAATCTAGTTCTGGGTTGTTGTCATACAGAATTCCTCCACCAGGAGGCGCTGAGTTGTATGCACTACATTAAAACTCTGACGATTTATTTAAAATCAAAACCTCAGTATTTATAAATCAAACACTTCAGACTTGTGTTTTTTTTTTTTTTTTTGGTCAAACATTTTTATTGTTGCATTCACTTTACATGTAAAAATGAATCAAAACATGTCAAATAGTCAGAGGGGAGCCAGACTACAGAGAACACACGGGTCAAAAATGTTTTCCAGAATATTTTTCTTTCACATTTAGATTTTCACTTTTGCATTTTTTTATAAGTCTATTTTAAAATGATCAATCAGAGCTGAAGCACATTTTGAACCCTGTCAGAATATTAAATTTTTTAAATACACATTGTTTTGAGCAGAAAAACTGAACTATCTGAAGAACAGATCATTACAGATAATTCACTTGTACATAAAAATACACATTYAACAAGCAGCTACTGACAGTGTGAAGTTCTCAGCAAGCACAAGAAAATATGTCCTTTTTTAAAACATACTATTTTCAGTTAAATGCATGCATAACAAGTGTCTGAGTGTTAACAAATACACTCACACTACTGTACACACCATGAGTTCTGATCAAGCCTTTTTCTCTTTTTATTAAACATCTTTGCAAAAATGAGCACGAGTTCCTGAATTGCGTCTGTTCTGACCGAAGAAACCCATAGGAGGAAAATTTGTCAGGCCCAGTTCTGGCCCACACAAGGCAATAACACTCAGCCTAAATACTACAAAGAATGATGGCCCTTTGTTTGCCAGAGGTGGTCCATGCATTGGTCAGCAACACATTAACCAAACCTCAATGGAGCCAGTTGTGGCATTCCATCTTAAAAACAGTGCCATTATCTCCAGACATGGCCCAATTGCCATGGCAGCAGTCAACCTTATCTGGCCCACACCTGCCTGCTATGTGGGAATCATAGATCCATCACGGAGGATAAGATGAAGAAACTTCCAGGRCTTAGACTGTGACCAAACACACGATCTACAGTGAGACAAACTATAGTAAGAAAAATGACTAAAAATACTTTTTTTTAGAAGTTACTGCACAAACAAAAACCCTGAAAGTACACGGTAAGTAACAGGTGTGTACTACTCTGTAACTAACATGTGTGCCTTGCAAGTACCAGGTACATATTTGATAAATACCACTCATGTACATCACAAGCATAGGTACATACCCTGTAAATACTAGATTTTTACCCAATAAGTACCAGTTATGTACTCAGTAAGTACTCGGTACATACCTTCTAAATGTCAGGTACGTACCTGCTCAGTACCTTGTAAGTACTTAGCTTTACTAACAAGTCACTCCATAGTACAACTTGGTCTCTGTACACACCAGGTAAGTTAACCATATTTACCCAGTAAGTACAAGATAACAAGTCACTTTACTAAGTACTTACTCAGTAAGTACCAGGTATGTACACAGTAGTTACCCTGTAAGTATAAGGGAACAAGTTACATCAAAATACAGCACAGTCCCTGTAGATACTCAGTATGCACCCATGGTACTGGTACTTATCACAAAAAGTACCAGATATGTACCTGGTTTGTACCTAGTAAGTACTGGGGAGTATTTTGTTTTGCTACTGTTTATGTGTGAGTTTATTTCCTCTGTGCTGAAGAGAACGCAGAGCCAACAACGCCAAGAAGTCCTCACCTGTGAATGTGAAGTTTGGATATATTTCTTTGTTTGTTTTATAATAAATATATCAAGGAGAGTCTGACAGGCGCTACGTTTTTCTTATGCTGGTTTGGGTTCAGTGGGTGATTAGAAAGAAATTTCCATAAAGACTTGTAGAGTTTTTAGCACACGTTTCTGCCTCTTCTCTGGTCTTCTTTTTCGTTCTTTATTTGTAGAAACCAAAATTCTTTCTTTGTCACATTTTGATTAGAAACATGTTTTCAGACTGGTTACTTCCATTTGATTCACAAGCATCACATTCTTTCTTTGTTCATATATTGTCGAGCTGAAACAAACTAGTGTCATCTAGTGGCTGACTGCAGTAGATTTAAGTCTCGCTCACTACATGTAAAAATAAAGGGTTTTTCTGACTGAAAAACAAAAATGCATTTCAAAGGAACTGACTTCTGTTGATTACCTTCTATGGAGCTCATCTGGTGCCACTGGATAAAAAACGATATGTGCCCATGCATCACTAGCTCGTGGCCATTAGATCATTTCAAGCAGCTGAATTAAGTGTCTCTTGATAAGAATTTCATGCCTAGCTGGAAGTGGCTGAATATGTAATTGTAATTTATTCCTATATTAAAATAAAATTAAATAAATTCCAACTTGTCCATGTTAACAATCAACAGTCTCTACATGGAAACTGCAATATTTATTTTGTGGCAACGCATTACTTTATTTTTATCTAATGTGACCTCCTCTCTGATGTATGATCAGAAATACATTTTTTACATGTGTTTAACTTTAATTAGTGATTGGATTTTGAACAAAACAAGACCGTTATTATGTGTGGGTGAGTGAGCAGGACTTCAGCCAGGCATGAGTTCCAAAAACGCAACATTGCAGCATTTGTGAATGAAAGATTTGGCCTAACATAAAAAGACAGAGGCGTTCCATCCATCGTTATGTACAGTCTTTGTTCTGAATCTTGCTGTTTTAAATCCAAGACAATCCTTTTAAACTGGTTTCTTTTTTCATTTAAATTGACCCTTTTTGTTGTGCATTCATTCCTGTTACATTAGTCAGTAAAGTTAAAATGCTTTAAATTTTCAGCAAAACTCAAAGTCCAGTTGTCTTCTAACAAAGAAGGACAGTTGATAAAACAAAAGTTCATGAGCAGGTGAACAGTGTCATCTTTTCCCCTAACAATTTAAAATTAAACAGACATGCATATTCCAGCCACCTGGGAGCTGTAATTCAATTTTCCCCACAGTGGTCACCACCTGAAGATGGGAACTAAACGCAGCTAGAATTAGAAATCAAATTATGGTCCTGATCCCCGCAGGCTCGCAGGTGGCACACGGTCAACAGTCTTTTGGATATAGAACCTGCACGTTCCAGAAATCTGTGTCACTTCTGTTCCGTGGTCTTTCACYCCCGCTGAGGCTGAGAAACAACACCGAACTCCTTAACAAAAACGAAGGACTCCTTTTGACACAAAACACACAGTTCACGTCAGTTTACATGCCTCTAAAGACAAAACAAAGTCAACCTACTTCATACAAGCAGAAAGGTTGAGTCTTTGACAAAGATAACAATAGCATTTTAAGGAATATTTCACTAAATGAAAATTCAGTGATTATCTACTAAACGTACATATCAGCTGAGTGTACTGTCTAAGAATGGGTTGGTACTGTAGGTCAACATGCTCCCTCATTTCTTTAAATCCTAACCTACACTGTGCAAGAATGATTCGACTAAACGATTCATTTATTCACCACAGCATATCCTTTACTTGCGTTCTGCACCAGAGCATATTTCTGATTACTTGCATGAGTAATTTTTTACAWTTTAAATTGCTTTATTGATTACAYTTCAGAGAGAACTGTCATCTCATTGCATTAATCTGAWCCAAGTTCTCAGGTCCTTTTCAGGTCAGTACTACAGCTCGGTCTCTTCTCTGGCCCCCAGAATGGTTAGCCCTTCTCTTTCTTTCATTGTTTTTAAAAACGTCTTTTATTTTCACAAAAACAAACAAAAAAAGCTCCGCTTGCTTTAGCTTTTATAACCATCTAGGCTAGTGTTATAGTTTACACATAAAAGAAAAGGTTTTTCCACAGTAGAGAAGAGTCAGAATAAATTCAGCTTGGAAAATCAGGAGAGATTTAAACATGAAGGCAAGCTAACTGCTAATCAAATTGGCTAATTTAGGAGCAAAATCCCACCATCTAAACAGAATAAGTACACATTTCTTGTTACTTTACTTAARTAGAAATTTTGKTTTTCTGTRCTTTACTTTGACTTTTTTTCTTCTGCCCCTTACATTTAAAAAAAAAATAAGAAGTAGTATGTTTTTACTCCTTTTTCATTCTGGCTTGCTATTGTTTAAAATCTATCCACATGAATCGTGCCTCTTGGATAGAATGGATTTAATATTGTTTAGATGAGAAACATAAATATATACCATTCTGTCATCCTACTGATTGCATGATCCATCACACCTGTATGACACAAATCATGTGACATTCATCGACATATGTGGTCTAGAACAAAGATGACTGTAGCAGAGATATATGCAGCTGAAACAGCCAGTGCATCCCAATTATTTCAATRTTAACATGTAAATATAACATTATAGTCATTAAGGAAAATGACTTTTAGGAAGGTCATCTCCACATAAATGTTATTTTGGAAACTAACTGCTCACTTTACTCAATACTTACTAACTTTATGGTAAGATATTTGTACTCAAGTATCACTTTGAGATACTTTATACAAGACTGCTTCTAAAACATCTCAAACATCAAACTTTAACAGTTTGAACAAAAAATGTTTAGTTTTGACACTTTGCAAAATTGACTCCGTTTACTATTTTCTTAACCAATAAAAGAAACAAAACCACCAAACTAACTAACTAACTAACTAACTAACTAACTAACTAACTAACTAACTAACTAACTAACTAACTAACTAACTAACTAACTAACTAACTAACTAAC